AAGCTTCAACATCCATAGGATGCCATCGACCGATCGGGTTTGTCTAAAACCTTTGGGCGTGAAAGAAACACTGTCCTGGGAAGAGAAAGAGAGAGTTTCCAACTAATCAGGAAGAATGTTCCTATGACTGCTACCATGGTCTTTCCATGTCTTTCCTATACGGTATATTATAGTACAGTTGTCAGTCAATTTGCTCCTTTACCACGGGGGTCCTTCTCAGATGATCTCCAATAATTTGTTTACATATTTCAGTAGCATGGCAGCATGACCATCACCCACCTCTGCCCCCTCAACCGAGCGCCACTTCGAAGCGTTCCTGTTCCTTCCGCGCGCCTGCCAGTTGAGCTGCACCCTTCGGTAGAGCCGGATATGATCCAACCTCGCCAGAGAGAGAGAGAGAGAGAGAGATTCCCGTCGTGGGAAAGAGTCTCCTGGTTGGCTTGGTTGGCAGCTGGTTTCATGGGATGACGAAGAAATCATGGGAACACCGGAACACGCCAACCATCCTCCGTGAAGTCAGATGTTTCCAGGAAACAACCGAAAGACTAGGTTTCCCGTTGGCCGAAGACAAGTCCGCAAAAGGCTCTACACGAACCAAATCTTTTGTCAAAAACCTAGATGATTGAGCATGTAAACGAACATGTCGAAATCTGTTGTCGACATCCATCCTTTTTCTAAAGCAAATCATGGAGTACTGCGATGTTTCAGAGAACGGGAGAGGGTTCTTTCCAAGGATTTGGGTTGTCCTTCCAGTTTCGACCCTTCATTCCTTCCGAAAGCCCTGCCCTCTTCGGCGCCGCCGCGGCCGCTGCGCAGTCGCTGAGGTGGCGGCATCGCTGCCGGCAGGGCATTGACCTGGGACGAAGACCAGTGAAGGAACACCGGTGGTCGAGACCTCTTGGTCCAAAAAAGAAGGAACGGCATGTTAGCTTCATGGGAAGAAAGAACATGAAAGAAAGCACCAGTGGAACACGACAACATTGAAAGACACGTCCGTTTACCAAGAGGCCCCCGGAGCCAGGGGTGGTTCATGGACACCCCGAATCACCTTTATAAGGGACCATTATTAGACACCCCCTGGCCCGGGGGGGGCCTTGTTGACTGAAGTGGATCCCTCCTCGTGCCGATCCCTCCGACTTTTCGATGCCGCCGGCATCGAGGAATCATCGAAAGAGGCGAACGGACATCGGATGTGTGGGTGACTGTTCCCCCCCTGTTCCTGGAGGAACCATGAGGAACATGTAATTCTTTGGTCAGGGTCAGGGGCCATGCCATCCAGGTAACCATATGGTTCTTTCAAGGAGTGTAGAGCTTTGGAAAAGATTCAAAGAACTGCTTCATGGAAAAACCTCTTGTGCTTGGCCCAGTTGGGATGCGACATGCAACCATGGTCTCCAACTCAGTCAGATCTTACAAAGGTCTCCAAAAGGACCTTGAGGGGTCCCAAAAGTTTCTCCCAAAAGTAGTTCGTCTCCTCGGAATTGGTCCTCGTATTCCTATCCTGTTCCACCAAGAAGTTCATCCCGTTTCGGGCTCGGGTGAGCTGCAAAAGAGAATTCCCAACAAATCCTAATAGAAACATCACACTATGTGGAGATTGCTGAAAAAGCAACAAAATGTGTCTTATATTGTAATATATTAAATTTGCTTCATCTGGCATGCTTACAGCAACCCACCACAACCCGGCAGACAAGGCGCTGTGGGATTTCCAATGTAGCCATTGGCACTAGGTAAGCGGCCAAGGAAAGAGATGCCTGGCACGCTTGGTCGATGCCCTGCTGAAGGCAGAGTTTGTCCATACCCGGGGTCCACATCATGAACACGTTCACTGCTCTATTTCAACTTAAGATCCACCGAACTCCGCGTCAGCTGTTACTCCAGCTGTTCACACTCACACGCCGTGTCTCCAGTTCCACTTCCTACACACTCCCCAAATGGTCGCATGGGTGACTCGATCCCGGCAGTCGCATTGGTCGGTCGACCAGCTGCGATGCAACCAGGCCAACACTGTGTGGGGTCAGCGGTCAGCTGAAGTGGCTGACCGGGTTCGAGAGGACGTGGCTGACGGGTGCGACCGCAGTCCCATGGTTCGTGTCTATTCGGCTCGTTGTTCGAGGACTTGAGGTCTTCCAAGGACTTCCCCGGATCCCGGTCACGTGACGTGAAGCTCTTTGTTCATCTGGAGCAACTCCTGGTTCGTCATCCGAATACCCTGGTTCGTCAGCCAGATCTACAGAACCTCCTCGGGTAGAAGTGGTGGCTTTGATCATCAAGAAGCATCAAGAAGCCAAGACAGGTTCCGACTCAAGTCCTTCGCTTCGGTGAAGGACCATCGCTCTGTTGGGCCCCGGAGAAAGTGTGACTGGCTGAGTTAACTACGAGCGAGATGGAATGGGAGGGCTAGCACTGGGGACAACTCTTATGGCCAGAAAATAATGAAAAACGAAAATGAATTCCACAAAACCAAACAGAATTGTACTTGATTGTTTTGCTTGTTTGCTCATGTGTGATCTCCTGATCTATGAAAGGCAGCCCTTAGATGCCCAAAAACCACGAAGCTCCGCACTGGGACCGGTCGCCCCCGAGACCCTCCGCCTCCTTCACCAGCCTCCGGCAATGGAGGGTCGGGTGCCTGCCTGGGAGAAACACCGACGGCCATGGTCCCAGGTGTTCAGGTCTGGCCCATCCAGTAGGGACTTCCACATAGTATAGTGCCTGGAAGGCTTGGTTCCAATCTTTCATCCACCTACCAAACATGAAGGATGTATAATCGTATACCCTAAGGATCCTTGGAGCCTCCATAGCAGGGGTCGAACCCTCTATAACAGGGGTTTGTACCCTGGTTTTTGAGGGTCCAGATCCTTAGGGTAGATATACTTTGCTGGGTCAGTGCACATCCACAGTACTCCTCTTAGTTCTGGTGAGATACCAAGTCGTTCGGTCAACATGTATAGATCTCCCTTTGCCAGCAGAAACTAATCCCCTCTAACAAGGTCAAATAAACATCCCACTGCCAAGAATATCTCCACCACTTCCGATCAATGGCTAACTACTACCTTCCGACACCAAGTTCTCGCTGGACTCGACTCGACTCGCATCCCTCCGACGAGTTCACTGAACCCGTCAGCCCATCTCTCGTTCACCAGCGACGCACCGACCGAACGAAGAGCGACCGTTCAGTTCCGCGGCGACGCATCGCGGCGACGCAGCGCTGGGTCCCGCGGCGCGGCGGTGGAGGCCGCTTCGGTGGTCGCTGCCTAGGTCTTCGGTGGTCTCCGGTGGTCTCGGATCCGACTCGGTCCGCAGACCTGGTGGGAAGGGAAGTTGGATGTGGGAAAGAAGACACATGAAAGCTGAAGACTGGCAGGACTAGATGGTTTTACTTCAATCTGGACTTTGTGGGGTTCCATGACTGGCGGAATAGATTTGGTACTAAACTCAAATGCGCAAAACTGACAGCGCGACTACTTTAGTAGCATGTTACTAGAAATTGTTGTCATCAACCAAGGTATCTCATTCATGTGGGGCGCCTATTTCGTTCACAAGCGAATACTGGTGTTGGACAAGCAAATGGTGTATGCCGAGATTGCAGACTTAAATACCGAACAAAAGTGGTTGCTCATGTGAAAGTTTCAGCGTGTCCCCAAGTTCTTTCACCAGAGTAAAGCCGTGCTGTGCAGTTCCCACTGCATTGGTCTCACAGATTCTCCCATGTCAATGCACCGCGGATTTTAGGAGTGTAGTGCAATCGGGGGTCGGAATGTCTGGGAGGTCTCCCTATATTTCGTCCACGTCATGTTTGCAGGTTGCTACCAGCACCCTCCAACAGGCTGTTAGTTGAGGGTTGTTGGACCCTAACAGGTCTCAAATTGGTGACCTGTCGGAGGGTCCTGGTATGGGTATTAAAATAGGAAAACCGCTCCAAACTCCCCAAAGAAGAAACATCGACCCGTCTTCATCTACCCATTGATTGGGGATCTCCATCACAACACACACCCCATATGTTACACCTCAACATCTGACGGCCGTCCTGTCTCCCTTGGGTCCGGAAAGGTGGAACACACGGTTGAACCCTTTGGCTGTTTAGGGTCTCTTGGAGGTCGCAGTGCACCGCCCTGGTGTCGTTTCGGTTGGTGTCAGTTGGTGTGACTGGTCGGGTGAATGAACCTGGTGGGTCACGACTGGTCGAACTCACTCTTGTCTAGGCTCTAGAAGTCCAAAGACGATTTTTGGAACCACCCAAGTCAAGGAACTTCCTGGACTCGGAACCACCCAAGTCATCCTTGTCTTGTCTAGGCCTGTGGTGTTCTTTTCGTGGGAGGCAAGATGGAGCAAGATCACGAATGCAGCTTACACCTCTCAATGTCCAATTGGAGTGTTTGGAGTTCGACCTACTTCGATGGGTTTTGCGATCAAAACCCTAGCAACCTTCAAGTGGATGACCCGCTGACCCTTCAAAAGGAACTGGTCCACTCCGAACACCCCCGGTGCTGGCGAACACGGCGAACTCGCTCAGCTGCTCAGCTTGGGTTTGGGGCTCCCAAACACCCTCCCAACCCCTAAAGGAACGTTCGGTGGGTGTCTTGTTCATCTTCGAACCGTTCGTGCCCTTCTTCACTACGCCTGCTCGGCCCATCTGCCCGGCCCTGAGGTTCCCAGCCGCTGTCGGGCCCGGTGCAGAGACTTCACCTCAGAGACGTTGGTGAACCCAGTGGGTCCAACGTCAAGCCATCGTGCGTGCACCGGGAAGAAGGAGCGAGAACGCATGGTGGACATGCGAATAACAGCACGAAAAAATATTTTATAGTTCTTGTTCTTATAGTTAATCCAACTTTTAACGTTCAACTTATATATATATATATATTATATATATAATAGTTAATGAATCAAAAACAGTCACGTTTTCCCACTGGCCGAACCCCCAAAAAAAGCAAAGACAATGGCCGAAGCATTCGCATCACTTCCCCCGTCGTCCGGCTGCCGGGTCCGCTCCTCTTTTTGCGAGTGCTCCATGTGGCAAACTCCACCAGTTTCCGTCGTTCCATGTGGCTGGTTTGAGTACATTGAATGTTTCAGTGTTGGAGTACATTGTGGCACACCAAAACACACTCATTTCGCTGCCGGAGCCCAAATTCCACTAACTCTCAGAAGCTTGGCGGAGCATAACCGAAGGCTTCATAGTCGGCTTTGTAGAACTCATACACCTGAGACGTGTGCCGAGGAAAAAGGCAGCCTTTTGCTCCGCAAGCTAGGCATTCGGTTTTCTCTACCCCCCTAGTATGTGTGGAGCCAGAACAGACTTGTTGTTCATGTTGAGTTCGCTCCAAATGTCTCATGCTCCACCGGGATCGACCACTTGTTTCACACAAATGATTAAATGATTGCTCACTTGGGACAATTTGGGTCATAGGATGCTTCCCTCATCATTGGAAAGAGTCCTCACCAGAAAAGAGTCCTCAACAACAACTTCCAACCAACCGCAACAAAAGAAGCTCTCCTCTCCTCTCCTCTCCTCTCCTCTCCCCAAGTCAGTCTCCGTAAAAGAAAGACAAAAAGCGGCCGAGGCCGCTTGAGCTCTCTTCCACCTGAGCTCGCGGCCGCTTGGCGGGTCTTGGGCGTCAGCTGCCCGGTCTTCAGGTCACAACTGGACCAATCCGCCATGAGCTCCTCGTCGACGACGCGTGCGAGCGGTCGACCCGGCGTGGATCCCGTGAGATGGCGTGGAGCCCTGTGGACGGTCGCAGGTCGGGTTTTTGGCCCCCAAAAGTGCCAAAAAAACCAAGGGGAAAAAACACAGCTCCACAGCCACATGAACCGGCAATAGAATCGAACATCACCTTCCCCCCTGTGTCGAAAAGAATCGTGATCTGCTTCGTGATCCGATTTCTCGGATTGGAAGTGATTGAGAAATCGATCGGGTCTCCATCCGTCCACAGTGGGCGATCACTTTTGTAGGACCAAAAAGAAAGGGTTCTTCCTTTTCCGGCTGAGAATCGATCTTCATCTCAGTACCTTACTTCATGAGATTGCACATGTGGGTGAAACAGATGGTAGCTAGAAGTTGAGACATCAGATCAGTGGAAGATAGAGGAAGTATAGCAAGATTGAAGTTCGAGATGCTCGAACTGGGGCTTTTGCGGATGGGCTTCCTTCCCCGGCTCTGGCCGCCTGGTCTTTACTCCAAGGCTATGGTCTATAAGGTTTGGCCCTCGTCTTTCAACCACATCTGTATCTCTCTTGCAGGTCTAAATTCGTTTCGCCAGGTTACATGTACGTGACGCATGGCATCGCATGGGTAAACCCTTCGAAGATGGCGAACCCTTGCCCTTTCCAAACCCACGATTCGGACGATTGTTGAAACCAGAAAAAAAGGACCGAAAAAACACCGGGACGATCCCCAAAGGCGAACACCCTCCGGTCCTCGTGCGGAAGCTTCACCTGCGGCCGCGGTGGGGGCTGAGAACGGGACCCTTTTTGGGGGGTTCCGCCCAGCGGATCGTTGACAACGTTCGAAAGCAGAAGTGCGGGTGGTAGCCCAGCCAGGACACCCACTGGACGAACCCAGAAGTTCGTCGACTTGGTCTTCTCTTCTCTTCTCTTCTCTTCCGGGCCTTTCGTTGTCACGAGTGAAAGCAACAGGTGCATCGCGTGAAAGCAACTGGTGCTTTTCCCTTTAAAAAAATGAAGATATACAATATAGAAACAGAATCCCATGACATGGAAGTGGAACACAGCCCAGAAAGCTCCTCTCTTGAGTGCTCTCTTTTCGTGCCCCTCTCTTCGAACCACGAAGTGCCCCCCCTCGGCGCCGATCCGGTTCTGGGACGCGTTTCCTGCGGACCTCAGGGCGGCCAATCTCCTCCATGAATGCCTCGAATTCCGCGGTGAGGTTCTCCTGGTACAGCAAACCTCGGGCACGAAGTCCGGTCCAAGACTTCACGAAGGGTCGGCAGCGGTTCGGCAGCTTTCAGACGATGCGGCCTTTCGTGCTTTCGTCAGATCTGGATCTGGTGACGTTGCGACGCGTGGGGTTTTCCTTGCGTGTCCTTTTTCTTCTCTTTGTGTGTTTTGGTGATTCACAATGCATTTTTTTACATGTCAAATGTGTTTTGGTTCGCTTCGACTCGGCATGAGATTCTTATAATGCGCGTCGCCCGAAGTCCTTGGACCCGACATCTTCACCGGTCGGTACCCGAAGCAAAAGCCGTTTTGTTTTTGAGAGCCTGGATTCGGCTCGGCGCTCAGCCCTCTCTTCCATGGGCTCCAGTGGGTGGGCATGGGCCTTTCATGGGTCCGGTGGACTCGATAGCGACTGCGCCAGCGCAGCTCGGGGCACGGATGGCACTCTCATGGCAAAGGCGGGTTTGGATGGGCGCCACTCATGCCACTCAAGTCCAGGTCTAAAAAAGCAAAATGCTACAGTCCAGTCATGTCCAGTCCCTGAAAGAATCCTAGAAGTGCAACAGTTCGGCCCCCTCAAAAAGGACATGGTCCTCCTCCTTCCATTCCAGAGGGAATCTGCTCAGCTTCCATTGTCTGAGGGAGGGGTATCCGGTATACCTATTGTGGGTATAACTGGACCGCAACACGCGGGTTTTCCCACCTCGTGTCACCAAGTGTTCACCTCACCTCGTGTGTTGGGACCCTCACATTCCAAGTGGTCGCCTCTGAACAAAACAGCGATGCCAAGAGCAACCCTGATCTGGTGCTGAACATCCTGTCTCAGGTTTGATCTTTTCAATGGCATCAACCACCATTGCACCATCTTCAAAGATCGATATAGAAAGGGATAAACATGTTCTTTTTGCTTTGCATGAAGATATCGGGTGGCGATTTGTTTACCAGGAGGTCTGTGGGGGGCTCTCTATTCTAACACCCGTCTAAATGACCCCACTGTTGAGCAAGAGTCTCACTATTCTAGAAGATATGATAAATTAACATGTTCAGCCATCAATATCATGATGCAAGGTTTCTTACAGGATGTCGTCCATGTCCTGTCGAACCTTCCTTTTTTTCAAAAGGCCTAATCAAGTCGGACATTTTGATGGAGGACTCTCGATGTTTGCCCCACTTGCCACAATCGCCATCACGCAAAAGGCCAATTTCATGCAACATGCACAATCCCCATGAGTCGCCCCTCAGAGCTCCATCCGAGACACGCTGGCAATAGCGCGTGGAGGAAGTCGACCAGTTGCCTAGGCCGGTGCAATGCCGAACAAACCAGGTGGGGAAACTTTGTTAGGAAAAGCTTCGACTGCTTCGACTCTTCTTAAACATCGAAAAGCCACGACAAAGCACTATTATACAGGTGATTGCTTCTTACATATCTACTGCTTGAACTATATATACTGAGAGTAGATGCGTAAAGAGAGAAAACTCCAATCACAGCGCCTCGATTCAGATTGGGAACACCAAAAGAAGATGTGTTCACCTCTGTGTTACCTCCTCTGGGTCGTGACAGCAGGCCAGCGACCCTCATCAACCCTCATCGGCAGACCCTCCAAGATTGGGCGTCGTCTATTCCATTCCTCTACACTCCGTGAAACAATCGATATACTGACATACATTTAAATTGTTTAAACATGTAAAAAAAAGAATTGGCAGCTCTTGATCTGCCTTCAGAGATTCAGATCGCATTCTTTAGATGTATATAGACGATCATGGAACTGTCCGTCTGTTTGTAGAGGAGAATGGAATGGTCATCCGAACTCGGGGGCGATGCGTTCTCCACGTAACCATGAATTATTTCAGGGAGTGTACAAGCCCAAAGGTATCTGTTGTGCTGAGTTGGAGCAGGTGGCCAATGCACCCCCTTTCAGTGCTTCGACAGGTCCGCAGCAGTGCAACATGCAGGACCTGGCTTTCTAGCGGAACAGCCAACCCCCCCAGTGCTTAAAAAAATAACAGCAAGAAGAAAAGAGAAGACTGGACTCACTTGACATCCGCATGATTACAATTAGTCTTGTTCCCCCCATCATGGTCAGACATGCCGCATGCCCGATGTCGCCCCCAACGAACACCCTTGAACAGGCCTCATTTCCTCATTCCGCGATCCGACTCGTCGTCGTCGTCTCCCCGAGTCGGAACGCTGTGGCACGTCTCGTCTCTCCTCCGCTCCTCCGCTCCCTCCGTCTCGCGGCCAGGTGTCGTGTACCATACACACTCTCCACCTGAGGCACCAGAAAGCAATTGCAGATGTACGGCGTCACCTGGATCCACGCCGCGAGACCAAATCCGCAAGCGCGGAGCAAGCGCGGGGAGCACGGTACCGCGATGCGTGACCGGTGGGTTCGAGTCACGCGGGACGGGGGGGGGGGGGGGGGAGGAATTTGTATATTGATCTCCATACCAGGACCTCCGAACTCGAGGTGTGGCAGCCTTCCGCCTCGCTTCATTCGGTTCGGGGTGTCCTTCCGTTCGCCAGGCGCCATGGTTCAAGGGTCGGTCCTTTCCCGCGAACGAGGCGCTCGGTCGCCAGGAACGAGGGTGGCGGGTCCACCACGAAGAAACAAGAGGCTCGCGTTCCATCGCCGTCCACCCATTCTCACTGGGAAAGGGTCGGTTTTCAGTGGCGTTTATTAGGGTTTATGGTGGTTATAGGGTTTATTAGGGTCGGTCTTCCATGCGAACGATGGAGAACAAAGGCCCAACATCGAAGACCGTCTGTCGTTCCCAGTGACCGTGGCCGTCGCCAACAGCCCCAGAGTCGCCGCTTCGATGGCCTCGAAGTCGGCGTTGCACGGGTGTGTGCACGGTGCGTTGAAAGGGCCGCGAAGAGCTAGCCTTTTTGGAAATCTCTTGAGTCGACTCACCTACATCAGACGCAGAAAGAAACATGTGCGAAGAACTATGACACAAACGATGTGGAAAACAAAGACCGGGAGAAAAGTGGCTCCAGGATCAGCCCATGTTTCTTAAGGTTCAAAAGAATAACTGTCAATCCTGGAAGCCCAGCACTGAAATCCTGACAGTCTTTGTGCGAGAACCAGGCCCGATCCAGGACGACCGAGTCTTTTCACCGTAACTTGGATGGTCTGAAAAGGCTTGGCGGTTCCCACGTCCCCGTGCTGCAATTCACCACTAGAGACCTCGATGGTGGGTGTACACCTTGATGGATTCGCTCGCACACCTCGATTTTTGGGGTCCCCACCTCTCTAGTTCTTGGAGCTAAGAAAGCTTTCTTTCGATATGGATTCACCATGATTCACCGGTTTGTAGAGTCGTTTGTTGTTGTTTGATGTTCTTTTCTTCTTTTTTTGCCACCAATTCTTAGGAGCCCCCCCTTCTATTCCAATCCACACCCCCTTCTCACCTTCTCCCCACCGGCAGTCGGTCCTCGCCTCTGGCTCACAAGCGGACAAACTCATCATGCGGAAGGCGCTCCAGAAACGCTCCAGGGGGTCGCGCACGGCGCAAAAGGTGAGGTTCGTCCGGTAGTACTCGCGGATGAACCTCCCGGCGGGTCCACGGGTGGAAAGAAGAAGCGCGCAAATCCTTCATCAAGCTCCTCTGCGTGAGCTCGAAAAACATTCTTTCTTTGTTCCACGGTTTCGGCTCTTCTCATGTTTCTGCTCTGAGGCGTGTTCTCTCATTTGTTCCTGTTTGGGGTCTCTTGTTGATATTGTATATTTAAAGCTTAAAGGCCAAAATTTGGTTGGTTGGTAACCTGGTAGTTCAAGATTCAATTTAAGATCATAGGCGCACATAGGGTTCAAGAGTCTGTATTGCCCTCGAGATACAACTGTGATTCCCCTTCAAGCATAGAAGATATAGAACAAACACCGTTATCGGTATCATCCATTTGGGGACCTCTCTCCAGTCGTTTCAGATCATGGATCCGTGGCGCCCGTGGGTTTCCTCCATGGGGTGGGGCACCGCCCTGTATCCTCCATTCACCACCCCACCCGGAAACTCCAAACCGAGTTGACAAAAACTTCTGAGTTCCAAGTCACTCACTTCGCGAAGGAGGCGTGTGCCTCGGAGCTCACTTCGTACTACTGTTCACTCAAAAAGTTCCGCAGGATGTGGAAATGCCCCTTCGGAGCTCGTGGACTCGTTCGATCAACACCAAGAACCACTCGAGCAACACAACTGTTGGGATCCCTACATGTTCTCCCCTAATACTGCAAGGTCCAAACCAAACACGCCGAACACTCTGCGTTCATCTCTCTTGGACCGACCTCTGAGTCTGCCCATTCGACCAAAACCACCCGAGGAGAGGAAGGAGTCAATCAAGCACTTCGGCGCACCGTTGGATCGGGTCGGTGAGCCCCTTCCGCAATCGATTTGGATCCGGACTTCGGGTCTTCCACCGCTGGGTTTTTGGGGGGGGGGGAGGCGGACGGTCCAAAGGATCGGGACCTGGGTGGATCGCGAAGGTCCGGGACCTGGATGAAGGGATGTTGGTTGGGAGATGAGATAGCCTCCGGAGAGATGGACCGGAAGCTCTGAAGCCATTCTGGAACCGGAAAATGGGCCGACCCAAACCATCGGCACCATAGATGGTGTCCAATCCTTATGTCGGAGGTCGGAGGGTTGTTGTGGTGGGTACTATCCAGCAGACACAGCGCTTGGGGGAATAGCTGCTGAGCAGTGCTAGGCCGGCTAGGCCATCCACCTCGTCGCATACAAGCCTCTAGGAGGTCAAGTCACGTAGAACACAGCCATGACCCCTGCTTTGATACAGGAAAAGAGCCTATTTGGGGTGGTTGGTGATCCAAAAAATGTTCAGGTTCTAAGGCACCTAGATGCACCTAGTAACCTACTTAACCTACTCCATGTCCCTCGGTTCTGCGGTTCTCGTGCTGTCCGTCACCCCTCTGCTGACCGACCATTTCTCCGGCGATATTTGATGGGTGGTTAGAGATCCGAAAACCAAAAAGAATTGGCCTCCGGCTGGGTCAACTCAGGGTGTCCAGTTGTTCTTCGGAAGTCTTCGTCTCCTGAAAACAAAAATAGAGGTCCTGGACCATGGCATTCAGACTTCAGGAAGAAAGCTTGGTGGCTGTGTATGTATTCATGGGCCCTTGTCTGCTTTGCTTTTTTGCTTCTGGGGTGATCTGAAGTTGTCGTACGGGAGAGGTGTCTCGCAGTGGAGACCCTTCGATCTTTGCTTCTCCCAAATCGACGTGGCCGGGCAGATCGAGTCGGGAGCCGGGCAAAAAAACGAAGAACGACGGTGAGAGAAAGCGAGAAACACACCTCGTTCGTTCTATACCCCCTCTGACATCTCTAGGTTGTAAAGATAGCTGCCTGATGAAGAACGAAAGCAGAGAAGCTTCATCTCCCTGGTTTTCGCTTCTCCCAATTCGGTTGGTTCGGTGGTCATCGCCTCGCACATGAGAAGATCTGACACGACGAGTCCGAACGTCCGAATCCAAGCGACAAATCCTCACATTGGTCGGAAGCATTGGGCGGCAGGAAGTGGTATTCCTGGACGTTCTGCGCGATAAAGGCCTCACTTTTTGCGTGGCCAAGCTGAAAATAAATACACACTGTGCGCAGATGAAAGAGATGGGCCCACGGGGGTGCAACTCGAAACAGGATCCACCCCAAACGAGTCCAGACTCACCAATGCCAAAAACAAGGCAACAAAGGTTGGTTTGAACCCTAATAGAGGTTAGGGGGGTGCCCAGAACATCCACTCACTTGGGGACTAAACACCACCCCTTTGTGACTGCTGGTATAGACATCTATAGACTCTGTTGGAATCGGCTTGCTCGGTGAATCCATTCGCTTCATCGAGGATCGAAGCGGAGCGGACCCGAGCGGACCATCCGGAGACCTGGATCATCTGGAGACCTGGATCATCCGGATCCTGCCATCATTCTCCCAAACCAAGTCAGCCATCCAAAACCCATCAAAACGACCTCCATTCGCCCGGTGGAAGGATGGAGGGTTAACTGGATCCTATAAAGTCAACATGGACGTCTCTTTCGGTGGAAATCCCCTCGAGGTTCTTCTGCATCCAAACCCATCCGATTTCACCGGTTTCCAACACCAAAGCTGCGGAATAAGTGAGGTAAGAGCTGTGCGAGCTCACGTAGAGGTCGCCCAAATCACCATCTCAGTGAAGACGCGAGGACGGCGGATTAATCAACCAGCATCGCGTGAGACAAAAACATCGTCGCAAAGACTGTTAGGACCAGGCAATCGAAAGGCGATAGAGCGGAACATAAGACACATTGTGGCAGAGTGTGGGAACTGCACATCGAACGCCCGGGACGAAGCAAGTCTGGACTCCCCCAAAATGCCGTCCACTGGTGTCTCCAGTGCCCCAACAGCCTTTGGGGATCCAATGGGCCCCCTCCTCAGATTGGCGCGACTGGAGCCGGTTGGCCCCGTCGAAAAGTCGCCGGGCCCGCCGGGCCCTGCATGAATTTGGATGGTTTCTGGTCGAAGAAGCAATGCTTTAAGCGTCCACCAAAAAGACATCAACGACTGACTGATCAAATCTGTGGGCCACGACCACATTTTAGGTAGAACATGGTGCTCGTTTCATGAAGAGCAGCCTCGAGGGTCAAGACCGGCAAGGCTACTATTAGTGCATTGGTGATGCAGAAAATGCAAACGGCAATGGTTCAGACCGATAGCGCTCAAGAGGTGGACCATGAGAGAGACGATGGAATTCTACGATCTTTTTGATTCTTTTGTCCAGACGTTTTTGTTGCCATGAAATTGCCATGAATTTTTAAAACCAAACTAGGCCGAGGGCGCGTTCGTGTCAGGTGGCGCCTCTGCGTAAGAACGTCTCTGCGTATACTAGCTTCAGCCTAGCCTATCAGGCTATTGTTTGAAACTGGATCCCAAACTCCCAAACTCAGGCGCCCACGATGGACGAACTAACAGGTGGCGACCTGTGTTCAGCCGTGTGTTCGATGCCCATCGCAAAGGGACCTGTCCCCATCAAATCCAGGGTTTACATAGCTTTTCCATACCGCAATCCAGGTATGGAATACATGGACCCCTTTCAACCCCACCAGTCCCATGAGTCGTGTCTGGGTCTTCGCTTGAAAAACCCGTCTCGGATGCGCGGCCCGCCGAGGCGAAGGCAAGGCGAGTTTCGCTCGTCCCGCCGGGTCGCGGTAATCGGATTTCTGTGCGATGCGCTCGTAGGTCTGTCGCATCAGCGAGTCAAAGGCCTTGCTTTTCCGTGAGAAAAGGGAGAGGTTGGGGGCAGGTCCGTGAGTGGAGTGATTTCAGAGGTTCCGAGGTTCCGAGGTGAAAGCTGAAGAGAGATATGGAAAAAGAATGGAACAAACTCTGGTGTATATGCCTCTCTCAAAGGCAAACGTATCATGTTGAATCTGTTTGATCACTTGCCCATCAAGGTTGTGCTGGTGGGCAGAGGGGGTGTCAGAACAAGGGTGGTCATCCCACGCCCCACGGGCCCAAAGCTCTAAAACGTGTTCAGCTATCCTTTCAGCGATTTTTTTGCAGAAAAAACGGTGTTCCCTGATTGAGATTCTTGGGGCTGGAGCACAAACGATGACCGTGCGGGAAGATTCCAAGGATGCTACATCATTGTGCTGCATGATCGGCATCTTTTCAAAGCATGACTTTTGCATGATCCATACACTCCACATCTCGCAACCAGCAAAACACCGCGCTCCATCCAACATCCATCCACCTTAGCCTCAGAAGCCGAGGCACTGGAATGGCTTGGTGCATCCCTGCAGCGTCGATGCTAGTGCCCCCCGTCTTGGGGATGTGCATGAACCGTACCAGCCCCGGACGCATGGCGTCCGGACTCACATGACTCGGCGTGTGCTGCATGAGGTCGGTCGTGAGGGAGAGCTGAAGAAGCTGCACATCGGCGCCTGGATCGACATCGGCGGGGTTTGGGCGTCAGTGGGGTTGGGGGAGTTGGGGGTGGTTTCATGCACAGGGCACGTCTTGATGGATCACGGACTTTGAATGAAACTTGCCGTCTTCCTTTCAGCCGTGGTGAGCGTGGTGTTCTTTTTGCTGCACTCGCTGTGCAAAACACACCCAGATCCTGTCGGTCTCCCACGAGGTCGCCAGTCTGGTGAACGCCCACGTGGTGAAAGGCCCGGCTAAGCGCTGCCGCGAGTGCTTTGGGGACCTTTCACTCAGCCTTTTTGGGGCAAATCGGGATGGTCACCATCCAAACAGGTGGTCACCAACCCATCTGTCTGGTCTGCAGCACCGTGCAGACCACATGGTGCACAGCGCACAGCGCACCAGCTCGTGCTGAAAAAACCTCACAGTTCCTGCTCCTTCTCCCTTGGAGCATCCGCCCTGCATGAGCGCCTGGAAGCTCCTCACGCTCGCCGTGGACGAAAACAGCTACGGTAGCGAGGACGACGGTCTTCCATTTCGCGGGGCGCATGGAGCGTCACCGTCGCCCCATGTCTTCGCGTGAAGGTGACACGCGCCCACTGGGCCGATATTGGCAGCGGTGCAAGGCGAGGCGATGTTGGCACCAACAAAAGGAAGAATGTTGATCCAACCATATGCCCTGTAGATGGTAGAATTTAGGAGATATACTTATCCTGCAGACCTGCTGAGTTTTCCTTACCTAAGGTCCTCTTTTGTTGTCTTTTTTGGATGCTTGTATAAAACCCTGAAGAAGACTCATCCAATTCAAATCATCCGTGACATGAAGATTCGATGACCGATCTCACGTCATCATCCAAACGACAAATCGTTGGAATGCCATGATTTTTTGTGATGAAAACATCGGCCGAAGAAGCTCCAAAGCGTAGAAAAGATGGTCCCGTTGGTTGATCGAATCTACTCCAAAGAGGATAACACCTATATATATATATATTAACAGCAGAATCCACTCATGACATCAGTCTTTGACAGTCTTGCACTTTCCAGTCAGTGAAATTATGGAAGTCTATGACAGCCAAGGACAAATATGAACAATTATCACCATCTCTGCATCTCTGGATTGGAGCCTGACCCCCCTTCCAAAAAAACATGGACAATCAGTACTTTCAGTAGATGAAGATGAGTGAAGGCGGATGGCAAAATGATAAGTCTGCCCCCACCTTTGGTGAGACCTCCCAAATAACATTTACTGCACGAAAAATACACAATAGTCTGACACCAAGGACCTAGAAACAGAAACAGAACATGCAAATTTGAAAAATCGGTTTGGAACCGTGGTGCTACCTACATAAACTAGTGGAGAAAACCCCCGGTGGGTGCCATACGGTATGACCGTGTCTCTAACCTCCATGCTGGTGTCACTGGTAATCCGGAGTTCGTGCATGCAAACTGAGTAAAAGACCATTGTTGAGTGAAGTTTCATGCATTGACCAAGACCAAGTTCAATTAGATATTTTTTGCTTTTTGGAATCGTCCGAAACTCGGAACCTGAGAAGCTGCAAAACGAAAGCCAGCGCTTCCATTTTTGAGGTGGCCTGAACAATGGTTTTAGGGCAGCAAACGCCTGGCCCCAGGCCACCTTGAATTTCGTTTGAAAAAAAACATTCTGTTCACACATAGATAATTCCCATCCACATTCAGATGAAGCAAAAGCCAAACAATGCACCAAAATTCGAGGCGGCCTGGGACCAGAGGCTCGCTGCCCGAAACTATATGTTCAGGCCACCTGAAAAATGAAGATATGCGAAGCAAGGGTCCTGAGGTGTCTCTGTGACAAGGCTTTTGTTAAAACAGTTTTTCAAGCTAAATTCAAGGTGGCCTGAGACCAGGGTTTGCTGCCCTAAAACACTCTGTTCAGGCCACCTTAAAAATGAAGGTCTGCGAAGCGAGAGCAAAGGATGCACATTGTCCTTCTGCTGCTTGAATGTGGCCTTTTGTTTACTTAAAAGTTCAAGACCTCCCAGCTGTTTCCACCTCTTCGCTTCCCAGTCTTCCCAGGGTTCACATAGGGAGCCAGGCCATTTTCAGAATCTTCTGGATTTGAGCTGTTCGAGTTCCTATTGAAGGGTATATGTTCTAGTTGGCGAGTGCGTCACCACCCGCTCCAAAAGCATCAAAGCATCACCTCCCAGAGTTTACGTATATCTTTCTCGAGCCACACATGCACAGCAAACCACAGCTTTGAAGTCTCGTTCGTGCTTTGAACTTGTATAGGTGTGTAAGAGGTATAGTAACATAGCATTTATACGGACCCAGGGTAGCTACAATTCTGTTCCCAGGTATCGCGCGCATGAGGCTTCAAAGCTGTGGTTTTCAAGCTAAATTCAAGGTGGCCTGAGACCAGGGTTTGCTGCCCTAAAACACTCTGTTCAGGCCACCTTAATAATGAAGGTCTGCGAAGCGAGAGCAAAGGATGCACATTGTCCTTCTGCTGCTTGAATGTGGCCTTTTGTTTACTTAAAAGCTCAAGACCTCCCAGCTGTTTCCACCTCTTCGCTTCCCAGTCTTCCCAGGGTTCATATAGGAAGCCAGGCCATTTTCAGAATCTTCTGGATTTGAGCTGTTCGAGTTCCTATTGAAGGGTATATGTTCTAGTTGGCGAGTGCGTCACCACCCGCTCCAAAAGCATCAAAGCATCACCTCCCAGAGTTTACGTATATCTTTCTCGAGCCACACATGCACAGCAAACCACAGCTTTGAAGTCTCGTTCGTGCTTTGAACTTGTATGTGTGTAAGAGGTATAGTAACATAGCATTTATACGGACCCAGGGTAG